TATGGTAAGCTTAAACTTCTGAAAACAAAAACAAAATATTCAAAGCCAGATTTTTTTTATACCTTGTCCATCCTTTAGATAGACAATATAATGCATATTTTAAAACATTAACTGTCTTACATGTTCTTCTAAACTAGCCTTGTGTGGTGTTGCATGCCTGAAATTCCAGAAGCTCAGGATGCTGATGAGGCAGGAAGATCCTAAGTTCAAAGCCAGCCTCAGCAACTGAGCAAGACCCTGTCTCAAAATGAAAAGGGCTAGGAATGTGGCTCAGAGGTAAGCACCCTTGAGTTCAAACCACAGTACAAAAAAAAAAAAAAAAAAAAAAAGTCAGAGATGATGCTATACATCCTATAAGCTGTTAATGTATGGGGGTAAGCAATTCACCAATAATAATAATCTTCCTAAAATGTCAATAGTGCCAAAGTTAAGAAACCAAAAGACTTTCTTGTAGACTTGCAACTGCTTCTATATAATCTAAATTTAAAATGATTTTTAAGAAACTACTTAAATGTTGAAGGAAAAAATAAACTCACAAGAAATTTTTAGGAAAACAATTTGTTTAAACATTCCCTATGAGAAAACTACAAAATGTTAGCAAAGTTCATCTACAATATGAAAAAACTACAGGTATCATATTGCATTATAAAAAAAAAATGTATGTACACTTATCTAAGGGCATGTTACTTCAATGAGTCTCAAATGATCAAATATTCTGTACTATGAAATGTAAGTTAACCTTTAAATTACAGTTACAATTTATTTCAAAAATTTAAACTGACATTAAATTAGGTTATATTTCAATCATTTAACCAGTAATTCAAACCAGGCTAAATTATTTTTAAATAATTAAAAGTATGCCTATCCTTGCAAGTCCTGACAGTGTGGAACAATATAAACACAAACAGACCTAGATCCAAATTTAAAAGCTGTATGTGTGCAAATAATTTAAATTATCTGATTCTCAACCATCTATCTAAGAAACAAGAAACCTAACTCAAAGACCTCTACTTAGCAATTAGCAATAGCTGGGTGTGGTGGCGTATGTCTGTAATCCCAACTACTAGGGAGGTTGAGGCAGGAAAATTGTTAATTCAAGGCCAGTCCAAGCAACTTAGTGAGGTCCTATCTCAAAATAAAAACTAAAAAGGACTAGAGATGCAGCTCAGTGGTGAAGTGAAGTTCAATCCCCAAACCAAAAAAATAAAAATAAAAACCAAACCAAGCACAGTGGAATACACCAGAAATCCCAGTGACCCGGGAGCTGAGGCAGGAATACTGCAAGTTCAAGGTCAGCTTTGGCAATTAAGAACAGCCATAAGCAACATAGTGAAATACTGTCTCAAAATAAAAAATAAGAAGAGCTGGGGATGTGGCTCTGTGGTAAAGCACTTGTAGGTTCAATCCCCAGTACCAAAATATGTGTGTGTATACATATACACACGTAACATATAAAATATATACGTATATAATTTAAATATTATATACTTAGTATCATATATTAAAATACATACATAGATACATAGTGGTAGAGATGCCTAGCATATACTAAGCCTGGGTTCAATCCCCAGACCCATGATGGGGGGAAAAAAATTGGCACCAGGCATAGTACTGCACACCTAGAATCCCTGCGACTCAGGAGGCTGAGGCAGGAGGATCATGAGTTCAACTCAGCCTCAGCAACTCATCAAGACCCTGTCTCTAACAGAATATAAAAAAGGATTGAGGATGTGGCTTGATGATTTAAGCACCCATGCGTTCAATCCCTGGTATTATTAAAAAAAAAAAAAAAAAAAGAATTCACCTATATAACAACTCATAAAACTGTAAAATACACTTTAAATCAATTTTCCACTGCATCAACTTTGGACCATTACTTAAAATTCAGAGTCATTTTTTTTTAGTTGTAGGTGGGCACAATACCTTTATTTTTTATTTATTCATATGTAGTGCTGAGGATCCAATCCAGCGCCTCACATGCACTAGGCGTGTGCTCTACCGCTGAGCCACAACCCCAGTCCCTCAAGAGTCATATTTGAAAATAAAAATCTGACAGATGAAAGGTGAATTTCTAAATACTATCTTACAGAAAAGAGAGCTAGATGGTACTTTCGTTTGAGTAAATAACATTCACATGACTCAAAATTCAAAAGAGGTCTATGCCCTGTAAACAAATACCCTATTCCCTTAAACAGAAGCTACCAATTTTATCAGTTTCTTATGAATCTTTTGACTTTTAATGGAAAATATACATTTTTCCCCCTTTTGACATAAATGGTAACTTCTTCCATTCTTTTCTGCACCTTGCTTTTCACATTATAATTATACATAGTAGTGGGATTCATTATGCTACATTTATATATACATATAACATAATCTGATCAATCCTGGAGGCTACATTTTATTTAATTAATTTATTTTTTTGGACTAGGAATTGAAACCAGAGGCACTTAACCACTGCGCCACATTCCCAGCCTTTATTTATTCTTTTTTTTTTTTTTGAGACGGGGTCTTGCTAAGTTGATTAGGGCCTCACTAACTTGCTGAGGCTGGCTTTGAACTTGGAATCCTCCTGCCTAAATATCATGAACCGCTGGGATTACAGGCATGTGCCATCATGCCCGGCACTTATAACCTCTTAGGTTCATCAAACATCACCTAATTGACAAAGGCACAAAAAGGCCAAAAAAATTAAAATAAAAATCTCAAATCAACCAATACTCTTAGTAAACACACGCACATGAATTAAACTTTAGTAAACTAGAGAGTTATATCAGGTGATATGATTAAATATTTATTTGATCAGCCACTCAAAATATTACCTTTACACAAAGAAAATATATATGGACTTCAATGAGTTGAGACTATTCAATATAATCTACTTATAAAACTGGGCCCACTAAAATATCCATGAAAAAATAAAATAAGGCTATTTATTGGTTATATTTATTACAAGATTAAATTATCTGATCCTTTCCTAAATGTTCTTTGCAACTTCCTGGAAGAAGTTTTCTTCCAGATTTACATAAGTAGTGTTCTTTAAAAAAAAAAAAAAAGTCTATTTGTTTTTCTTTCATTTTTCTGATACACTGATTCTTAAAGAATAGTACTAGTGTAATAATAATATATACTACCATCACAATATAAGAATTTCTGGTAATCTTCAACTCAAGTACTAAGATATCCTGGTGAAAAGTCACCTCACATAAAGCAGAGACCACAGGGATTACCAGTACAGTAATTTATCATTTCTAAAAAAATATTATAAATCTGTAAGTTTCAGAACTGTGCAACCTTACTACAGAAGAATATTTGAGGCTGTTGACAATATTAGCTGCAATCTTTCATTAGAAATATGTAAACTATAAGAATACATTTTCTTATTAAAAAAGTAAAATCTCTGTTACAATGTTTATTAGTATAATCATTTATGACTATTTCTGCATTGTACCACAAAAATACAAAGTCATCCTTCCATTCAGTTTTGGCAAATGAGCAAATACAGAGGTCAAAGTTCATACACATGCTCTGTAAAACTAATCACACTGCATATACTACTATATTCAATAGGTCTACTTAAATGTCATTTTATTTTTAATCATTTTCTTATGTGTATACTTGGAAAAGTACATGATCACTGTAGATCGGACTTACTATTACTCACCACATACTTAGAATGTTGAATTTCACAAATCATTGCTGACATTATCAAAATACATGCCATAAGAGAAAAAACAAATAGCAATAATCTTGAAAAAAAAATGTGAATCTTAAAAAAAAAAAATCACTTGCAGGATTTTTTGTTGTTGTTGTTAAATTCAATAACAATCAGAAAAACACCTGGCGTTCTAATTTTGGTATGAAAAACTATACTAATAATTGCATAGTTTTGATTCATATTACTAGTCCATTTTAAATACTTTATATAAATAAAGATGGCCAGCATAATGTGTAAAAATGCTTCAGGACTCAAAAGTGGAGAAGACAATTTTTAAAAAAAATATATATTATGTTGTGCTATGATCTTTTATGCCAAAATAAATTTACTCACTTAATGAAATAAAACCATGTATTTATCTGGTAAAATCCCTTGTTTTTAATTTGCCTATTTTTTGAAAAGTAACAATCAGCTAACTATGAGGGACATCATAATGAAGTTTCACAGCAGAAGAGTCACAGAGGCATTGTCTTAGGAGAGATTCTGACCTATGACTTGTAAACAATATTTTGAAATATGCTGCTCATACACCCCATTATCTTTTCCTACCTAAAAATATTTAATACACCAAACCAGTCGAAAAGCTTTAGATAGCAAAAAAGAGGCCTAGCAATAGGGGTAAGTGGAAAAGAGATAATGATCTAATTTGGAATTAATTTCCTATATCTCCAGTGAAAATTCCCTTGTTCCCCCCTCCCAAAAAGATACTATTCCATTATGCCTCCCCTTATTTCCCAACACCCAGCTATGAGGGAGTAACTCTGAATGTCCTTCTTTCATCAATACTTAAGGACTCTCGTTGCTTCTTCCCTAAGGAAAGGACAGTAAAGGGCTGACAGGCAATAACCCAGAATACCCTTAAAAGTGTGGGCCTCAGGGCTGCGCTGCTCCCCGGATCCAGTTACCACCTCTCCCCTTCCCCCAACCCACTTCCCGGGTTTTCTCAGGCTTGGCCTGCTCCCTCCCCACCCCACAGCCACACTTCCAGCTGTTGCCACCGCCTCGGGTCTCTCTCTAGAGCTCACATCCCGCCGAGGAGTGCTCCCCTCCCCGCCTGCCCCCCAAACCGTGCTCCTCCCGGACACCCGCCCGCGAGACCGTCTATCCCAGGGCCCGGGGAGGGAGGGCAGCTGGAGGAGGAGGGGGAGACTGTTGCTTCCCCACAGGCAGAAGGGCGGCCGCAGGGAGCCGCCCGGGGGATACCGGGGATGTCTGGGTCGCCGCTGGGAGGGCCCTCCCGCCCTGGGCTGAGATGGGGGATGTCCGGGAGTTCATTTCTGACCTCCTCGCTCTTCAGCACCTCCTTGAACTCCCGCTTGATTCGCTGCACCGCGATGTTGGCCATGTCTCCGCCCGCAGCTGATTCGTACCCGCCTCCTCCGCCACAGCTACGACCACCGCCACCGCTGCCACCTCTTCCTCCACCGCCTCCTCCCTCGGTGATTCAGACCCGAGCACACGAACGCTGCCACTGCCGCCCCTGCCGCCGCGCTCCCCTCAGTGTGGAATCACCTCCGCGCCCGGCCACCAAAATGGCGCCGGGTCCGCGCATGCGCACGACGTTGACCCGGCCGGGCGGCGCAGCCGCTCCCGTTGTAGCCCCATACGCCTCCGCCGCGAGCCCGCGCTGCGCCGCGCGTCTGAGCCGGAGCTCCGGCCGCGTGGCTCCGCCCTGCCGGCGCCTGGGGCCGGGAGGGTGCGGCTAGCTGGCTGGCCAGCCCCGCGCGGCCTCCCGGGAGCTCTCCAGCGCCTCCGCCCCTCTTTCTACCCTTGTGATAAGATCCGGGCTCCAGCCCGACCTGCGCGCCGCCCTGACTCAGACCCACGACCACAGGCTGGACGTGCCTCGCTATCTAGCGTAGGAAAACACTGTTCCAGAACTCGGTCCGGCCCATTGTCGGTTGGTATAGCTCCAGAAAATCCACTGCGGTCGCTTTTGTTCTGGAACCATTGTAATGCCATTATTATTCGATCATCTCAAGGACTCCTAATTATTAAGAATGGTTATTTTTGGTTCCCTTCGGTGTATGAGACAGGTATTCCACGGAGAGGCCCGAGATAGGTTCAGGAGCCAGATGTTGATCTTTGACCAATTTGGATATTAATACCGAGCTGTGGAACTAAAAGCTTGGTTTTTAAACTTGAGTGTGCATCAGAATCCCTAAAGAGCTCGTCAAAAAGCGAATTGCAAGGTCTCATCCCTAGAGTGTGGGGTGGGCCTAAGAATTTACATTTAACAAGCTCCCAGCTGCCGCTCATTCAAGGACCACACTGAGAACCGCTGAATTAACTAGTGAACATTTGTATAGAAGAGAAAATTGGAGAAATAGAAGCTCCTTGGGGGATGGGTTGCGGGAGGGAGAAGATTTACTTCTGAAGCGGAGGCCCTACAAAGGTGTTTGGCGCCAGCAGGCACTCAACAAATATTGAATGAATAAGTGAATAAAGAATAAAGTACTCTGGGCTTGTGGCTCAGTGGTAGAGCGCTTGCCTCTCATTTGTGAGGCACTGGGTTCAATTATCAGCACCACATATAAATAAATGAATAAAATAAAGGTCCAACAACCAAAAATAAAAAGTAGATAAGGCCAGGGTTGTGGCTCAGTGGTAGAGCGCTTGCTTAGCATGCGCTAGAAAATGTTAAAAAGAAAATAAAGAGTAGAATATTCTCAATGGAAAATAAGTTTGAAAGTGGTTGCTTGGGTTTACAGAAAGTAACATGAGAGTGGGGGCGTTGTGGCTCAGTGGTAGGCACTGGGGGGTTGGATTCTCAGCACCACGTGAAAAATAAGTAAAGGGATTGTGTCCATTCTACTAGAAAATTTTAAAAAGTAACATGGTTTGGGTGTTGAATAATACATTTTGGAGTAATAAAGGTTATTTTAGAAGTGACTACTTTGTGCACTTCCTATACCTAGCCAATCAGTAAAGTATCTTATAAAAATATCACATATACTTGATCTTGCAAAAGTAACTAAAACTCCAGGTAAGGTGGTGCACACCTGAAATCCCAGTGGCTCGCAAGGCTGAGACAGGAGGATAGCAAGTTTGAAGCCAACATCAGCAACTTAACAAGGCTCTAAGCAACCTAGTGAGCCTCTGCATCTGCGTCAGAATGAAAAGTAAAAAGGCTGGGAATGTGACTTGGTGTTTGAGCTCCTCTGAGTTCAGTTCCTGGTACAAAAAAAAAAAAAAAAAGGAATATTTTATTCCAGTTCCCTCCCATACCATCTCTCTTGGCCAGTTTTGGTTGGTTTCCTCATCTGTGAAATAAGGAAGTTGGATTTGATGATCTATTTAAGTTTTAAAAACCTCAGAATTTTAAAGCATCATCTCAAAACAGGTCCACAAATGGGTAGACATAAATGATAAAACCCTTATAGCAGAGCCCCCTAGTGGTCCTAAGAGGAGTCAACTGTATATTCTACATAGATCATGGTACAATGAATTATTGCCATAATGTAAATCAAGCAATGCTATATGTATTTGTGCCAGTATATTTAAACTACATTATTTTGAGGTGTGTAAACTCTTCTAAAATACTTTACACCTACCACTCTCATTCAGTCCCCAATCCTAATCTTGGAATTCTAAAGAAACTTGGAATACTCAAATCACAAGGGGCCAATGAGAAATCTGATAATTTCTTTTGGCGGGGTGTGTGTGTGGGGGGGAGTTAGTAATTGTTTTTTTCAATGCTGAGAATTGAACCCAGGGCCTCTTGCATACTAAGCAGGGATTCCATCACTGAGCTATATGCCCTAGTAGGTTTGGTAATTTTTATTTGGGGAGGTACTGGGGATTGAACTCAGAGGTGCTTTACCACTGAGCTACATCCCCATCCTTTTTTTTTGAGGTGCTGGGGATTGAACCCAGCGCCTTGAGATAAGCACTCTACCAGCTGAGCTACATCCATCCACAGCCCCCCAATCATTTTTGAGACAGGGTCTCACTGAGTTTCTTAGGCCTCTCTAAATTACTGATGCTTGCCTTGAATTTGTGATCCTCCTGTCTCAGGCACCTGAGTTGCTGGGATTATAGACACATGCCACCAGGCCCAGCAGGTTTAGTAATTTTTAAAATGCACATAAACATTAACTCTGCAGTTCCACTTCTAAGAATTCATTATATAATCCTTCCAGAAAATAACAATCTCATTTTAACTGATATGAAACAATCTTTTTGCAAATACATTTTAGCTGGTAGTGGTGGTATGTGCCTGTTATGCCAGCTACTCAAGAGGCTGAGGCAGGAGGATGGCAAGGTTGAGGCCAGCCTGAGCAATTTAGCAGGACCCTGTCTTAAAATAAGTACTGGGGTTATACCTCAGTGGTAAAGTACCCCTAAGTTCAATCCATAGTATCAAAACAACAACAACAAATACATTTTCTTTTCCTTTTGGTGTATTAACAATGATATGGGGCTCTGGGTGTACCTCAGTAGTGAAGTGTGCACTTAGCATGTACAAACCCCTGGGTTCAATTCCCAGCACATAAAAAAATGCATTTTTACATATCTTTACCTATTAGCATAATATTTTATTAAGTTAATATTAGGAAAGGGTTAATTTTAAAGAAAAATAGCATAAACTTGTGGTAATTTAATATTCCACGATTTTGCATTTTTTAATTAAGGAGAAGACATTCTCATATTTCCCAACTAAAAAGTAAACAAAAGCAATATGATAATTAGAGCATCAAATGTACCTAGCAGCTTGGGAGGCTGAGGCAGGAGAACTGTGAGTTTAAAGCCAGCCTCAGAAAGTTAGCAAGGCGCTAAGCAAGTCAGTGAGACCCTTGTCTCTAAATAAAATAAAAATTAGGGCTGGGGATGTAGCTCAGTGCTTAAGTGCCCCAGAGTTCAATCCCTGGTACCCCCGCCTTTCCAAAAAAATTGTATCTAGACTGTAAGTAGACTTCACAGACTTATTGCTTACTAAGAATATTTTTTTTTAATATTTATTGAGTTGTAGATGAACACATAGTATATTTATTTATTTATTTTTTGCTGTGCGAGGATCGAACCTAGTGCCTTACACATGTGAGGCAAATGCTTTACCACTGGGCTACAGCCCCAGCCCCACCAAGAATATTCTTTCTAAAAACAAAAACCCGGGCTGAGGCTGTAGCTTAATTTGAACAACTCTTGCTTAGCATATATGAGGCCCTGGGTGCTATCCCTACCACTACAAAAACAAAACCTCATTACGCATGCTAAATGATTAGATTTATATTTATATTAAAACAAGGCTTTCTGACTTTTACACACACACACACACACACACACACTGTGTGTGTGTGTGCATGCATGCATGCTGAAGATTAAACTTCATGCATGTTAAGCAGGCACTCTTATCACTCAGCTACTTCTCTAAGACTTTCTTAGAGAAAGAGTGCTTGTCTTTCACTGGACTTCCTTAGAACACCTCATCCCAAGATTTTTATTTTTTTGTATCTATTTACTATTTTATACCTATTTACCTAGGTATTTATTTTGTGCTACTGGGGACTGAGCCAGGGGCACTCTAACACTAAGCTACATCCCCAGCCTCTTCTATTTTTTATTTTTATTTTTTTAATATCATTTTTTATTGTTGTTTATTTTTTATGTGGTGATAGGGGTTGAACTCAGGGCCTCATGCATGCTAGGCAGGTGCTTTACCACTGAGCTATCTCCCCAGCCCCCTCTAGTTTTTACGTTGAGACAGTCTTGCTAAATTGCCCAGAATGGCCTCGAACTTGCAGTTCTCCTGCCTGGACCTTCTGAGTCACTGGAATTATAGGCATGCACCACAGGGCCTGCTTTCCTAAGAATTTCTTTGTTCTTGTCCTGTCCTTTTTTTTTTTTTTTGGTTGTGGTACTGGGGATTGACTGGCAAAACCGTCTCGAACACAGTAAAAAGTGCTGGGGCATGTAATTCAGTAGTAGAGTGCTTACCTAGTGTGAGCAAGGACCTGGGCTCAATCCCCAGAGCCACAAAAAAAAATTAAGAAAAAAAAAAAAAAGGATCATTGGCATCAGAATAACTCTGGGCTGGGGGTATACCTCACTAGTAGAGGTCTTATCTAGCACTTATGAAGCCCTAGATTCAATATCTAACACTAGAAAAAAGAAAAAGAAGGACTGATTGTGGCTCAGCGGTAGAGCGCTTGCCTAGCACATGCAAGGCCCCAGGTTCGATCCTCAGCACCACATTAAAAAAAATAAACAAATAAAATAAAAGTATTGTTTCCAACTACAACTAAAAATAATATTTAAAAAAAAAGAAAAAAGAAAAGAGGGCTGGGATTATGGCTCAGTGGCAGAGTGCTTGCCTTGCAAATATGAGGTACTGGGTTGGATCCTCAGCACCACATAAAAATAAATAAATAAAATTTAAAAAAAAAGAGAAGCTGGTATATGTTGAGAGCCACAGCCGAAGGGGCCCCAGCAAACTTTCAGACTGCCAGCTGATGATTGGCTCACAGCGCCCCAGCAACTTCTAGCTGATTGGCTCCTCTGCAGTGATGCTCATTGGGCTGTTTCCCTGCCCTTTCA